CTGTTTTCACAAAGGCCTTTGGTGTTGACCAAAAAGCAATCCAAAAAATAATAGTAGGGGGAAAAGAAAACACGGAGAGAGAGAGAGAGAGAGAGAGAGAGAGAGAGGAAAAAGCTACAAGAAAAGGTTCAAAACAGACAGCAGAAATTCTTTCCAATCTTCTCCAAACAGAAACCACTGTGGCCTACCAGTTAGAAGCTTTTGTTTTTTCTTCCAGTCTGCACCTGCTGGCAAGAGGTCACAGTGTTTCCCTAAGCATGTGTGGACTCCCGTCTAAGGGATTATATCAAATCTCTAAACTGTTTTCAAGTGTCTTAGCTTTTGTGTAAAACAAATGATGTTATAGTTGTGAAAAAAAGTTGTCATAACATGGAGTGAAACAGATGCAGAGATTCTGCCTGAGTTTCCAGAGAGTCTGAAACAATAGCTAATGGACACATCCTATTCTTGTATGGTGATAGCATTTTTCTACTTCCCACAGGCCCACATTATCAAAGATGAAGCTGAAAATAAAACAGGGAAGCTGAAACCTTCTAATTATGTTTTTTCTGGTATAAAATAAAGACATTGTATAAACTGGTACCTAGACCACAGGTGGGTTTCCTAGCTGCATATAAAGCCATGCTTTTTTCAAATAGGAATGGCAATGTCATCATTTCCTGATGAGAACATACAGATCTCATTCACTGCCATAGAACACTGTCAGCAACTCCTTGGACTACTAACTAGGTCTTTTGGTCTTAACTTTCATGCAATCAGTTGTTGTTTCAGGAGTTTTTTTCTGGTTTGACACATGACACTGTGTCAAAATGATGCAGCCTTAAATGGAAATATCTAAATATTTTCAACACAAGTGAGGTACCAAAGCCTAACAAGAAGCAAGGTTATCACATTGGCTAGGGGACATCAGTGCAGAGAGTTATCTTCCCGTGCACAAATCCAGAAGCTCCTTATAAAGAAGCCAACAGTATGCCCTCTAGTTTATAAGAGTCTCCAGACACCAAAAAAACTTCAAAAGAAACAAGATTAGTGGGAGTCATTTAAATTTCAAAGACTTTAATATCTGTAAAGACGTTTTGGCACAAAGCCTGAAAACACACTTAAATGGTTTGTAAACTTGCTTGGCCTGTAACACTTGTTTGACGGCAGCAACCCAGTCTGTGAGGCAGGACCAAAGAGATACTGAAAATGAAAACCATCAGCCGAACACTAAGGCCTCTGGACAACCTCCTTTGAGTCCATTAATCCAAATAATTTGCCAACATTTTCCATTAATTTACCAACAAATATGACAGTTTGTTGGTGCACTGACCATGAACTGTAGTGCAGCTCTGCTTGTCTTAATAGCAACAGTGTGAGAGCCACCTGGAATAAATGGAATTATACTGTTGAAATAGCTACCAACAATTTTCATTGCATCTTTACTAATTCAGAAAAGTGCAACACACTGAACAATTAAGATGTTACGTAAAATAACTTCCCTTTATTCAAATTAAATTATCATTTCTTTACTGTGTTCTACATTCTACAGATAAAACTTCTGTGCAAAATAGTTTATAAAGTACGACAAAAGGCTTTTATTGTAAAAATAAAGTTTCTAGATATACAATTACTTTGCACTATTGACAAATATTGTACAGTATTTGACAATCAGTTTTAATATGTCACATTACTTAAATATATGAAGTCATGTAAACCAATGATCTTACTGATAAGCATTCCATTATTGGTACTTCAGCTTTTTGTGACTGGAACACTATTCTTTTCCCACACCTTACCCTAAGTACTGATTTCGCTTACACACTCTCTATTCACCTTTGTGCACTTTAATAATGAAACTGGGCCTTGGAACAACTCAAGTTCCATTGAAGGATAGAGCATGCACAATCAAATGGGAGGAAGTGAACACTAGCTGGAATATGTGGTCTTAGTCTGGTAAATTAAAACAATTCCCCTAAAAGGTTGTGAATCGGTAACATGAACCCTCATTGATCCAACTCGCTTTCATTCTGCAAGGTCTTCATAGCTAAGCCCCACAGGGTCATACTGGAAAAGAATGGTCCCTCATTACTCCTATATGCAGCAGAAGATGCACGATTGCCCAGTGGGTCACCACAATGACCATCCAGGGTTGTCATTGATGAACGAATCATAGAAATATTATCGGACTGTAGGGGTTCTTCTGCAGATGATACATCTACCTCTGTGTAAGTGAAAGGTGGCTGAGGAGTTTGTTGTGTCTGAGGTTTTGGGAGTTCAGCAGGATCCAGACTCAATTTCTGCTGGATTGTAGACTCCTGGTGTTGAATCATTGACCGCAACTTGCAATAAGATCCTGCAGAACTATCAAATTCATTAGCTGAATTTCCAGCTGGACGAACAGGAAATTTAACAGATACTGGTAACAAAGTAACAGACATTTCTTGGGCAAATGAGTCGGAACCCTGAGATTTCTCAAGATCAGAAGTTTCAATTGCCTGAGTAAATTCCTCTAGAGTATTTGATCCCTCATCACTGGACTTGCAGTGCATTTTCTTGTGCCGCCGCAGAACAGCAGAACGAGTGAAGCATTTGTTACAGGTCTCGCAGGTATAGGGCTTTTCTCCTGTATGAGTCCGCACATGTCTGCGTAGGTCACCAGACCCTGCAAAACACTTTCCTGAGAGACAGAAGTAATACTTTTAGATTTTGTTCCTCTCAATGTGAGTGCCATGAACATGTTTGATTAGAGGGAATATCAAGCGTTTGAGTTAAAACTACAGATCAATTCCTATTGTGTCATGTTCTCTGTCTACAACAGTCTCAGACTTGTTCCTTCTATTTTTAAAACTCAATTATTTGTACTTTTCTTCTTCTTGACCCGACTTGCTCTCCTGTATTTCCATATCCTTCCGTTTACAGTCTATAGTCTCAGAAATCCCCTCTAGCACTGGAATGCTGTGACAAGCATTAGTAGCAACCGCTTTTCTCAGTTTGTCTCTGTCTTTGCTGAACTGAATCCCTTTGATCCCTACAGTAGCAGTCTGAGGAACATGGCATGTTGATGACATTTCAAAATACATTTTTCATAAAAGAACTGCACTACCTCAAATACACCTTACAATAATTCCCTCAGTACAGAGGTACTATTGTCAGATACTACAGGGATGGGTACTGTTATAAAAACTTAGCTGCATTGATAATGTAAACATAAAACCCATTTTGGCTATAGAATAATTTTCAGTGTTGCAATTTTATTATTGCTAGGAGCATTCAGGTACCATGAAAAACTATCAACTTCTTAACATGCAGTATTCACATATTTTCAAAATAAACAGAAGCCAGAGGTAAAATAACTCTTATAAAATTATAGACAGCAATATAGTAAGTGACTGAAATTGGACAAAGATACCAATGTCATAGTGCACCAGGAGAAAAGGATGTTTCTAATTTCTAAAACTGCTACCTTAATTATACACAGTGATTCTGAGATTTTACATTCTTCAAAATAGTATAATTTGACTTTATATAGTTTTGTCCATATTAATGATTGTTTTAATGCTGTACTTTATGTGGACAGGTACCATGAAAATAAAATGTGTTATTTGAAAGCTTAGGAAATTGCAATTGATCTACCAGCCATTCATTTAAATATATTCTTATTTTTTTGCCATTAAACTTTTGCATACACCTGTTTATATTAATCTCTAATTTTGCAAAGCCCAGGCTTTTCTGCATAGCCAATTATGCTGCACTATCACTGGGTCAGTAGGTGTTGAATTTTTGCATATGGTGGACTATTTCTTAAGAGATGGATCCTCTTGTGGGTCATTTTTGCGCTCAGTCTAGATTTCACACCTTCTCCGTGGAAACCAGATGAACTCGCTATAAGAAAAACTAATCAGAACAATATTAAAGTTTAAAGTAAGCCTATTTTAATGTGATGGGAGAAAATGCTTGCTTACGCTTACTCTAATTTGTATCTGCTGTTTGTTTCCTCTGACTGGGTGAAAGGCTTTACATTAGTTAAGACTCACCTTGTTGCCTCAAGACCCCCATGCCAAGACATACTCTAGTTAGGTGTTTTTATCCTGTGTATTTGCTATCCCTCTCCAATGTTGGTGTTCTTTGAACATGACTGAACTTACACCAAAAGCAACAATAGTCACAGGCAGATAATTAAATACCATTGCAGGATGCTGAAAGGTGCTTAGGGTGTGAGATATTAGATGATCAATAAAACCTCTGTAAACTCACAAGCAAAGATGAATCGCTATCAAAGACAGCAGCTTTGCAGACCACCAGGAAGTGGGATCCATCTGATACAATTTGAGAACTAATATTCTCAGCTATGACCCAGTTATGCTTTATAATTCAAAAGAGCCTTCCCTTTACAAATTAAAGTGAAGGACTAAAGGTTGCTTCCAGCTTTCACTAGGATTCAGTGAGATCTCATTTGAATGTTGCAACCAAATGTTTAGGACAAAAGCACTAAGGCTGCTATTTCAACATACTTCTTTTGGAGGGAGGCTAAGCATGTCCTGGTGATAAGCAGAAAGTAAATCAAAGCTCTGAAACAGCTATGATCAGTATTGCTGTTGAAAACCAGACTATAGGGTCCAGAAAGAAGATTCACCACTTTAAACAACATTCACTCTTCCAGTTTCCTTTCTGTATTCTCCATTCAAAATTCACTTGTGATCTCATTTGTGCTCAGCCTAGCACTGTTTTAGGCTTAAAGAAAAAATAACTACCGCATAGGTGATAACAACAGGGCACTTTGTTGAAAAAGTAACATTTGTACCATCAATAATGTTAAAGTCCTATGTATGAGATGGTGTAAACAAGTAATAAAACCAAGCTGAAAACGATTTTAACCATCTGCTATGCCAAATAGAAGAGATCCAGGAAAGGGTATTTCAATCCAGTTTTACTTTGTCTATTTCCAAGTCATCAGTGAATAAGGTGAATTTCCACTAGCTTTTAAAAATAAATATGTATGTATTGTAAACCTTACTTACCACATGCTGAACAGCTGTATGGTCTTTCTCCTGTGTGCCTAATTCTGTGCTTTACTAACTTCCGTTGCATGTTAAATGACTTTCCACACTCATCGCAGGTGAATACTTTATCTGCTGTATGGGTCTTTTTGTGTTCCTTTAAGTTACTAAAGTTACTAAACCCTGGAAGAATGTAACAGACACTAAGATTAAGACGACTACTCACATTTCAATCATAAACCCTAAAGACAGAAAAAATTAATTCTAGCATACCTCTGCCACAGATATCACACAGATGAGGTTTTTCTCCAGAATGAATAATAATGTGACGCTGTACATCACCAGAAGCAGCAAACCTGGAACAGAATTTGGAAACTCAGTTAAAGTGTTTCTACATACCTACTACCTTCCATAGCTGTGTATCATATGGGGAGCAGCTGTTATGAATGCTTCATCAGCCTAGCAAATTCTAGAATGCTTAGAGGACTGTAGTCTGAAATATTAAAAACTCCTAACACTAGATGCTATTAAGGGGACATTGTCAGGTTCAAAATATTTTTTAAACAAACATAATGCCTTAAATTTCAAACATCTATTTTAACAATCAAATTTATTTTTTGCCATTAATACTATTTCTTTAATTTTTGTATTTTGCCCAGTTTGAACAAAAATAGACAAGCCAGTTACAAGTTTGTGTATTTTCTGTCATGTGCTGAATGCAGCAATATTTGTGTTATAAAGACTTCAAGGAAATATTTAAAAAACTCAAATAAAAATAATGAAGACCTATCTATTGACCATAGCTTTTGTAAAATTTAACAAAACCCTAATCATTCTGAGTCTAAATCACGACAATGTATAGCTTTAAAGGAAAAGCACAGAACTGTGCGTACTTTGACTCAACATTTCCAAAAGTTCTGTTAAGTTAAATAGTTTAATTAGACATTGGATATTTTTAGTTAATTAAAAAGTTGCCAATGAACAGAAATCCAAATAAGACCATATAGACTCACCAGATGTGCTGATTTATGGGATACGGCACTAAAAATATATTTGCGTAAAGTAATTTAACCCATCATTCTGTACTTGCTTTTAAGAAGCAATTCCTAATGTTAATCTCTTGTCATTTACCAGTATCCAATAAAGGCAGAAGTGCACAAAGAGTGATGGGCAAATAGACAATAGAAGCCTATGGTGGTATAAATCAACACAGTCTACTCCTGTTACCTAAACCTTGGCCTCTGAGTTGTTATAAGGGTTAAGAAAATGTTTTATTAATACAATCTTAAAACACTGACATACTAACTGTATAGGAGATTAACAACTGTACTAACCTTTTCCCACAGATTTCACAAATATATGGTTTTTCACCAGAGTGCCGACGTAAATGAGTCTGAAGGTTACCTGCCTGAAAAGATGGGAATAAACGGTTTAAAGAGGCCAGAACTAGCTAGTTGGTGTCTGTAGATGAAGAGGTGTAAAGAACAGAATCCAGAAGCTGGCTTTCAGTTCCTAATTTTAAAACGGTCAAGCTTATGCACCATTTGGAGAATGAAGAATTATGCTGTTTGATCAAGAAATACTGTTGTCTACACTAATAGCCAGCTATCTATCTATGCAGCTATAAATTGACAACAGCAAATTGGGAAACAGAAAAAAGAGCAAATTAAAAAAAAGAAAACTGAAGCCCAGATTCAAACAATTTGGAAACAAGCTACATCTGAAAGACTGATCCTGTTAAGTGTGAAAACCTAGAACAACCACCAGGATTACAGTCATGGGGAGATGATTACTTACCAGTAATTAGATTTGTCTTAGTCTCCTTCTCTTCCCTATCCTACAAATAAAACACCACTACATCATGATGTATGACTTCACCTACCAGGAGGCAAAGAAAAATGGTCAGTTATTATCTATATATAATGTACTCAAGTCTGGGGGGAGGGATAGCTCAGTGGTTTGAGCACTGGCCTGCTAAATCCGGGGTTGTGAGTTCAATCCTTGAGGGGGCCATTTGAGATCAGGGCAAAAATTGGGGATTGGTCCTGCTCTGAGCAGGGGGTTGTACTAGATGACCTCCTGAGGTCCCTTCCAACCCTGGTATTCTATGATTCTATGAAAAGCCACACATATTTACCCCCAACAAAAGAAGAAAGTAGGATAAGGAAGAAGAGAAGACTATGAACAAAACAAATTACTGGTAAGTAATTTTTCCTTGTACATCTTCCATCTTCCCTGTCCTGCAAAAGTCATGTTGGCATATCAAGCAAGGCAGATAAGAAACCCAGAAGCATGAAGCACACTTCTTCCTAATAACTCTTTGGCCTAGGCTAAACCTAAAACTTAGGTCAACCTAACTACATCGCCCAGGGTGGGAAAAATTCACAGCATAGTTAAGCTGACCTAAGTCCTGGTGTAGAACCATTAGGTCGAGGGAAGACTTTTTGGAGGGATGGATTAACTACAGCAACAGAAAAACCCCTTATGTGCTGGAGCAAGTGTCTATACTGCAATGCTACAGCACCAAACCTGCAGGGCCATAGCTGTGTCACTGTAGCTATAGTGTAGACACAGCCTTAGTAGTGAAGATCAGTGATGGCTCTGAATAGGTAATCAACTGAGACTCCAACTGTATATGCAAGACATAGACATGTTGGAGGGAGGAACCCCAAACATTGTCCAGGAATGTTTTACTTGAGCCCAAGCTCCCTTGTTAACACTTGGCAGCCTTTTTGCAATTCTAGAACTGTTAAGGAAAGCAACTGATTTGGCTTTATTTAAATACAGCTCGAGTAGGAAATTTAAGATACATCTCTCTTATTAAGTGTACAGAGATTCTGGATAATGACCTTTATTCAATAACCTCCCTAGATAAGGAAAGATCAGAGAAACTGACCTCAAGGCACACACTCCTGACTCTCTCTCTCCTTGAAATCCTCATAGGCAATGATATTAACTCTTGACAACCAAAGTTTATGGATATAACGTAAGGTGGTGAAAGGAACTATCAGGGGATTAAACAACAAAGAAAAGATGAAACTGATTGCAAAGAACCCATACAAATGAAAAATGACCATGGATTGCACCCTGAAACAGCTTGCTTTTAACCATTTCAAAGTCTTTCAGAAAGAAATCAGATTGACCCTTATGCTCTCAGTCAAAGAGTCAGAAGGCTGAAATCTATAACAGGAAAGGGAACTAGGACAGATGTTCTGGAGACTCACAGAGTCTATGAGCAGATCTCTGGAGCTCTGAGAACAATGGGCATCTCGACTAAGATAACCTCTCCTTTGTATAACCTGACCATGTAGAACTGGGGTTTGGGAGAAGGGAGATTCTCCATGCAGAGGCACAACTTGAAGTACACACATCACAGAAACGGCAGAACCTCTGTTTCCGTTGTACCACAGAACAAACAGGAACATAGGGATTGTCTGCACTTGAAAGTCATTTCAGATTAAGGTAGAGTGTGAATTTAAAGCGCAATAGCTATTCTGGAATAGTTTCCCATTTGGACATTCTTATTTTAGAATAAAAGTATCCACGGGGAGCTATTGCGGAATAGCTATTCTGGTTAATTTCCCTATGCAAATAAATCCATAATCCTTGACCCAATCCCTAAGGATGCCAGGTCAATGAACTTATTATTACAAATTCTGATACCTTTGTTACAGGGGTAACATGAAGACTGGAGGAGGAGGACAGAAGTACAGTAGAACACCAGAGTTATGAACAGAGCGGTCAACTACACACTTCATTTGGAACCAGAAGTACCCAATCAGGCAGCAGCAGAGACCAAAACAAAAAAGAAAAAAAGAAGAGCAAATACAGTACAGTACTGTGTTAAATGTAAACTACTAAAAAAATAATGGGAAAGTTTTAAAAAAAAAAGAAGATTTGACAAGGTAAGGAAACTGTTTCTGTGCTTGTTTCATTTAAATTAAGATGGTTAAAAGCAGCATTTTTCTTCTGCATAGCAAAGTTTCAAAACTGTATTAAGTGAATGTTCAGTTGTAAACTTTTGAAAGAACCATATTGTTTTGTTCAGAGTTATGAACACTTCAGAGTTTCGAACAACCTCCATTTCTGAGGTGTTCATAACTCTGAGGTTCTACTGTATATCATTGTCCTATCACCTTTGGCCTGATCCCTGGGCTTTAACTCTGCAAAGGAATAAGACTGACTGGCTAGGAAGATGAGGGATAGGCGGAGACTGGGCATTTCAGTGAAAGGAAGAGATATTAAAGATAATGGGATGGGATTTCTGAGCCTGACTGATCCTGGTTGCATTCCACACATTAACTCAGAAGAAGAAAAGGACAGTTGATATGATCCTTTTACAAATCTTTCAGAATGAAGTGAGCTGTAGCTCACGAAAGCTCATGCTCAAATAAATTGGTCAGTCTCTAAGGTGCCACAAGTACTCCTTTTCTTTTTACAAATCTTTGTGACCAAAACAATCTCAGGCTCAGGTGGCATGTCTTAGGGAGCAGACACTCACACAAAACGTCCTGAAAGAGACTCTGCCGAGAAAGGTACAGAAGAGACCTGCAATGTTATCCTTGATTGCAGAGAAGAGGTTTGGCAAAAAATCATGCAGAAAAGCAGCTGGTATACTGATAGTGAGGGGAAGACATATGCTGGGAGGCAAAGGGCCCTTTCTTCTCTCCAAAAGTCAAGGTTAGTGTAAAGTAGGTTCCTTTTGCTCATCTTCTTCCTATATCCAATCTCAATTTTTACTATTTTAATCTTCCCTTTATTTCTAAGTACAAAAAACAATACTGATCCAGCATCTGCTATGCACTTGGAACTGCCATAGACGTCAATAGGAGTCCATGAACTGGACCGATGTAAGACTGGGCCCAAAAGCACAGCAGATGAAGGCTAGAGAGAACAGTGCTGTTCTCATACTTCATACGTATAGGCTGTGACAACAAAGAAAACAGAGGAAAGTGGGAGGAACTAGTCATTATAAAGGCAGAAGTAAATTTTCTTTGCACCTTACTTCTTGGTAGGTGGAGTCTTACAACATGTGGTTATGGTATTGTATTTGCAGAATGGAGAGAGGAGAGAGATATGATAAGAAGACTGATACCTGGAATTTCACTATTTCACCCTTCATTTGCTAATATTCATCAGTACATTAAGCCAAGAACAACAGAATTTTAACCACTGCTTTTGTAAGTCACAACACGTTTTTGAGATGTTAACATAAGGAAAGAATAGGGAGGGAGGTAAATTCCACTTTATGAACAGGAAACTAGTTGTAAGCACTTGGATTGCATTGTGGACATTATATTTTGCAAACATGCATACCCTGTATTATAATTAGTCTATCAGCACCTTCAGGAGATTAAGATAGGAGAGAAAAACTGTTTAAGAGTAGTTAAAATGAGAAATCACAGTTTGCAGTACCTTTTGTCAATAGATGGAAAATTAAAAGAATTCATTAAAAACAAAGTCTGTTCCATGAAAAATGTTTTAAGTTTGTCATAGCTGTGATACGTACTTTATTTACTGTTTCCTCTCCCCTCCCACAAATCCCCCTTCAATAACTTAAACTAGCCTTGCAAAATGCTACTCCACTTGCCTGAAGCAAGAAATGTTTTATGGTCAAATAAACCAACCATTTTTTCTTATCCTCATCAACATGAAGGGCAGCAATACGTTCTTGCAGCTAGGCTGGTATATCTTCACAACAATTTTGAAAAGCTGCTTTTAATGGTTATACCCCTTCTGATACTTAGAATTTCAGTCTTCAACCAAAAAAAAAAAATGTTTTTTCTATGGCTAATATGCACTCAAAGCTGTCCAAAATGACTGGACAAGCACAACTGAACACTGAATATAGGGCCGGACCTCACACTTCAGTTATTAAATCTATCCCAGTATAAAACATGCACTTGACTGTTTCTCTCTCCCACCTCCTGCTCATCCCCCTCTTGTAAAGTGTAAGTATTCTGATATAAATACAGGGTATCTTATGACCAAATAAAATATGGAATAGAGTAAGACAGTGAGTACAGATAATAAATTACAATGAAAAGGTGGAGTCCTAAATTTTCAGAAGTGGTCTCCAGTATTGCTGATGCAGTTTTAGGGACAAAACAAACTGTATCCTTTTTAACAGCCTCCCTGATTGTACCTGTAAGTCAAGTAGTTAGGTGCCTGATATGTGCAAATACAAGTGAATTTAACAGTACCTGCAACTTTGCAATTTAAATATTGGAAGTCAAGTTGAGGCGCAGATAAAATTCAAGGCCAGAATACCAGGAGGGAAAAAATCTGACTTTTATTTCCTAAGTAAACTTAAACTGGATTATTGTGTCAGGCTTTGGAACCATTTGAATTTCAGTTAAAAAGAAATTAGTCTGATTGTATTTATGCAATTATCATCTACTCAATGTTTCGTATTTGGACCTCTGGAGAAGTCTGTATTGCTACATTTGGTGTATAGGAAGACTATAGCGTTTGCAACAAATTATATATCTGACTAAGAGGTATTTGCTTTAGAGCAGTGGTTCTCAACGTGTGGCCCAGTCAGCACAGAGCTGCAGCCCATTTGACAATCTCAGGCCCAAACAGGTAGTATTGGATGCGGCCCACATAACAGATTATGGGCCACATATGCGACCCATGATGGTAAACAGGTTGAGAACCATTGCTTTAGAGTATGTAAAAATAATAGTATGCAAGACTGACTGCACAGTTCCTATAAACACCACTCAAATTGTATTTCTAGATGAGGTACATATATATTTTAGGCCCCACATTGTTATAATTTGGCAGTGAATGTACTCTAGATTTTAAATATGCAGAGGACTTTTTTTAAAAAATCTACATAACTAAGCACCCAACCGCTGAGAAAAAAGCATGAAAATTAAAGACAGATTGAGGGAGAGGTGATAGAACTGCTACATAAAAGTAAAAAGGCAGAAAACATCTTAAAGAAACCTAGAAAACTGTAATTTGTATTTTCAAAAGCCACCAAAGGTGGCTAAATCCTAAATTTAGGATTGTAACATTGGACAAAGCCATGTCATTTATATCACTGCAAACAGAACTAAGTTTACTTTTAGAATCAAAACATGGATGCATTTAGTTTAACTGTAAGTATCATAAAATAAAATATTCCCACCTGTGAGAAGTGTTTCCCACAAATGTTACATTCAAAAGGTTTCTCACCTAAAAGGAGAAAAGACAGAACATAGCATATCTAATAGTTTCAACAGAATACAAATGCTTTAAATTGGTATACTTCCCTCTAAAAGATATAATTTAGATACAACTTAAAGCCAAAAGGACACTTACCGAAGTAATTTAAAGAGAAAATTAAATAGGTATTGTGTTTCTGTCATTTACCTCTTAAAGGAGAATCTCTTTGAAATATAATTTATATTTCACAAACAAATAACTAGTAAAAAATGGACACGATTAGAAACGTTCTTAACATTTATACTTTCTTCCTTGCAGCATAGGGGTGAGAATGAGAATTATAAATGCTTAAAGGAAATGTGGTAACTGTCAAATTAAGACAAAATTAAAAGGATCACATCAGTTTTACACACACACACACAACCCTGACCTACAGACTAAAGCTAATCATTCACAGAGAAATCAAGTGTGTGTGAGGTCTTGTACTCTCCCTTTGCAAGATTCTGTACACTTGACAAATCAGCTCCAATTGGTCAGAGACCCTGGAAGCAATCTACAGCCAGTGACTTCTCACTAAAAATAAACTGTATTTAACTGCCTTTACTTTTGCCCTCTAACCCTTCACACTTAGTTGTCCTTTATAATAGGATCCGACAACTGACTTGAGCATTTTGGTCAATAAAGAGCTTTGATGTTTCTCAACCAGGTATAAACTGATATTTCAGTCTCTCTCAAAATTATTTTGTGTAAGAAGCTTGACAAATAGGAAAATCAGTCCAATACACTGTACTTTTTGAAATGTAATCCCATTACACTGATATTTAGCCACATTCTTCAGTTTTCTAGTCCAGAAACCTAGTTATCAGTTTGAATCAATGTATTCTCTTTTCCACCTATTCCATAGAATCACAGAATAGACTCATAGAATATCAGGGTTGGAAGGGACCTCAGGAGGTCATCTAATCCAGTCCCCTGCTCAAAGCAGGACCAATCCCCAACTAAATCATCCCAGCCAGGGCTTTGAAAAGCCTGACCTTAAAAACTTCTATAAGGACATTTAGTCACTAAATAGTTCTGCCACAGTTCTCCGTTTTAAAGGGTTTCCTAATTTTAGATAATGGGTAGTTTTCACGACTGCATCTGTGATTTAGGAGCCTAAATCCCATTTTCAAAGTGACTAGGGCCAGATTATTAAAGATATTTAGCTGCCTAGAGATGCACTTAGGCATTTAGGGCTAGGCTTTTTAGGTGCCTAGAAAATCACTGTGATCCACAAAGCCTGGGTTAGGTGACTAGGCTCCCTATACAATGAATGGGGATAGATGCCTCAGAATGGGATTCACAATAAGCAGCATGCTAGGCAGCGTGGGGCAGCTCCTCCCACAAGCAAGCCAGTGGGAGAAGGCAAGAGGAGTGTTTGCTAAACCCTGCCAATCTCACAGAAACAGGCACTTAAGACTGGGCTGCTGGGAAGCTCTTCCCTTTGCTTGGGATTCTCAGCTGCAAACCCTCTCTTGAGATTAGGTACCTATGCTATTTTAGGAAGAAGCCCAGAGAGGGGAGGACTACATCCCTCATTATTTTTAGCCCAGTGGATAGAGTACTCATCTGGGATATAGGAGAGCCTGCTTCAAGTCCCCTCCTCCACCTGAGGAGGAGAAGGGATTTGAACAGAGTTCTGTCTCCTTTCAGGTCAGTGCCCTAACCACTGGGCTATAGGATATTCTGATGTACGGCTTCAGTCTCAACTGCTGAAGCTGTTCCATTGTGGATAAATAATGAAAGCATCACTGATGGAAAAGGGGGAAAATAGGAGGGAGAGAGAATATGACTGTGTATCCTAGTGGTTATAGCATTCATCTCTGAGACCCAGGATCCAATCCCTCTGCACCAGTGACTTTTTAAAATTTATTTTTACACAATGGAACAGTTTCAGCAGGAGAGATTGAGGGAGCCACACATCTTTCATAGCCCTGAGAAGTAACAGATCCCCATTCAAATTCATTCTCCCCTCAGGTCGAGGGGGGGACTTGAACCAGGGGTCTCTGACACCCCAGTGAATACCCTAAAATTTATGAGGGAGGTCCTCCCTCCACCCACGGCTGTTTTGTTTAAGCTCACCTATTGTGTCCCGATCTAGTAGGTGAGTTCTGAGCACTTTTACCAGATTGGGCTCTGCAGACAAATCCAGGAGAAGAATGCCTATTTTCCTCTGGTTTGAGACTAAACCGTGGCTCAGGCATCCAAATGCCTGGAGTGAGGCAGTAGCACACATGCTCAGAAGCAGAAACACAGGTGCCTATGAAACTTTTAATAAAAAAAAATTAGGCACTGAGCGAGTTTAGGTACCTCAGGTTTAGATGGCAACTGGGCAGGAGTTTGTGAGTCCCAGTGAGGCCTGATTCTGGGATTCAAGCAACTAAAGTGGCCGTTAGTCACCCAGGTCCCTTTGTGAATCTCGCCCTTTCTGGAATTTTCAGAAGTGCCCAGGAACCTGACTTCCAGGAATTTCAATGGGCGTTAGTCATCTTGGCACTTCTGAAAATCCCACTAAGTACCTACATACCTTTAAAGGTCTAGCCCTTTGGTACCAGGGAACCGAAGACTCATTGAAAGTCAAAGGACTAAGGGACTTTTGAAACTTTCACCCTATACCTGGTTTCTGAACCATCACTGAAGTGGAAAAATAGTCTGTTATCCTTGTCTATCACTTCCCTAATTTTGCAGAACATCAGTCATACCATCTGTGACCCTGAGAACCCGTCAATGGCAACTGGCAAAGGGTTCATTCACTGTTCTGTAACAATAACCCAGGACAGGCCTAACAAACTCACTACACCCAACAAATTGATTTCATAGTATTTATCCAAAGAGCGTCAAGGGAGGTATCTAATAAAAGCTTATGTCATACTGATCTTCATAATGATTGAGAGATGTATGTATGGATGACATTTAAGGAGCTGTGTGTATATACACAAGAAAATATATTTTAAAGTCTGAGTCAAAGCAGGGTTGACAAGCAGATTTTGACCAGACAAAGGATGTACATTCAATCATTTGTCTTGGTTCACATGTAAAATAAGTATTGTATGTCAACACAATGGAAGCCCATCTGCATACAACATCATGGATGTGAATGCAACATGGAGCCAGTGCATCAGGGAATAAACCACAAAGGTCATCCTGACTCCGGGGATAAAACAATGAATATTGGGGATATAGAAGGCAAAAGGACCTTTTTCATCCTTCACAGAGGAAGTTAAAAGGGCAGCACATTTTGCATTTATTAAAGGGAAATCCCAACCATGTTGGTTGGAGATGCTGTGAGCTTGCTTAGGGTGAGATTAACTATGTTAGACAAGAGTTTTAACCTGTTGAAAGTTTAGACTCTGCGAAGCATGAAGTTATACTTTTTGTTTTATATGTAACCATTCTGTTTCCATTTGTTATCCTTACTCACTAGCTCTTAAATCTTACCCTTTGATAATAAACTTATTTTCACTATATCTCAGCATTGTGATATTATATTTGAGCTGATCTGCAGTTGAATCAAACAAGCTGATATGTGCACTGTTCCTTAGGAGGTAGCTTACCTTGTAATTTCTGAGAGTGTCAAATGGTTAAGGGCTGGATGTTGCAGGGGAATGCTTCAAGGGGATTTGGGGATTGGGATGCACCTATCGTAAACCTACAAGGCAAAGTAAGGGCTGGGAGAACCCTGAAGAGATTGTTTCCGTGGCTCACAGACTGGTCGTGTCAAGGGAATTCATGTCCAGTTAAGTACAAGAAAATCTTGCTATCATTTTGAATACCCTGCTTCTAACACCCAAAAAGCTACACTGATTGTTAGCAGAGCTGTTGTATCTGACCTTGGTTGTCAAGAGGGCACTAAGAAACTACCTCTCTCCCTAGATACCCAGATAGAGGGATTTGTAGATTAATGTACCAACACCTAATGCCCTGAGCTGTACACACAAACAAATAGGAAGCAACCCATTACATGGCGCACAGGTGTAGTATGTTCAACAGAATTCACACCATTAAATAGATTGAGTCATAGAATACACATGACATAGGAAGATACTTAATAGGGTAAGCAAACAGACAGTATCAAATTCTCTTCCCTTTACACCCTGGTGTGTGTCCTCTTCCTTTGCCTTTCTGTTTAGTATACCTCCTACTGCTTTAGCCACCCACATGTCCTTGCTTTGTCTGTCTCAATTTCCTATTCCTGTGCGGCTATATCCCATTCCCAGCACCCCATTGACAGTTAAATGGGGCAGAGCACTGAAGAATTACATGATGTACTTCCCACCTCCCCTCCCTCTTTTTAAAACTACATAACAGGAGAATGCTGCAGAAGTCAGACGATGCCATCCCACCCAGTAGCCTGCAGTAGCTATTTGAATTGACTACGAAAATACAACAATCTCTAGACGAATGTCACATGGAAGCATAAGCAGAATTCTGCTATCTGGTGTTCTATTCATTTCTCGGGTTATTTTGAAAAACAAGAGTTGGAGGAGCAAGGTTTCTGAAAACAACATGGAATTCCTGTACACAACTTCAACTCCCGCACGTAAATTAGCAGCGTACAGGACAGAACAGAAAACCAAATGGGATCAGTCTTGTTACATTTTATACAGTTAAGCTGAATATGTGTGCAGCTGAAACTGCAGTTAAAAACAGTACAGACTAGCTTGACTGTAGTTGGATTGTGTGTGAATACATGGATTTCAAACAGGAGTGGTACAGTAACACCATAAAGATTACACACAATGAATGTAAATAACCATGTAAATTTATTATTGCAACCCTGTCCTCCTTGGACCTCCCCCTGTTCAGTGTTCCTCACTGCACTGTGTCTAAAATGAAATTGTAAGATGTCAACCAGAGATCATGTTTTGTTTGCTCTATAAAGAACATAGGTCTCGCTGAATAAATAGTATATTTCATGAAATGCTGAATTTACAATATACACTTTTCCACAAACAATTTAAAGTGGTTTAGTAGATTGGTATGCCATATATTTTTTCTGCCCAGAGAAACCTATAAAGAATTAAAATCTAGTGTTTGGGCAACATCATTTTAAAAAAATACTCACGTGAGTGAGAGTTGTAACACGAACAACCGGAAAACCTCACAAAAACTGAATGAGACCTTTTGGAGTAGACCCTATGATGGAGAAAGTTCAAATTCTGTGCAATCTAACAATTTATGGAAATCTAAATTCCCATTACTAAAGACTATGATTTATAAAAGAAATGAATGCATGCTAAAACAAGGGCCACATTTTCTTTGACTTTTGCGCAGAAAATGCACATTCACTTGTCAGATATTTATTTGGCGAGATGAACCCTTATGCATTTGTAAATTATGTCATTGGCTATTGGAATATAAAGGAAAAGGAGGGGCAGAAAACATCCATTAGCTGAGTCCCCACGAAAGACACCGTGGTAAATGATGGAAATTAATGGTATTGCTTGAATAGCTAAGCCAGTGGTCACCAACTGATCAATAGTGATTGACTAGTCAATCCATGCCCCTGCAGCGGGGGTGAGGGGGTGGGATGGTGGTGGTGGGGGCTCCACACTGCTCCTGCCTGCAAGCACCGCCCCCGCAGCTCCCATTGGCTAAGAACGGGGAGCTGTGGCCAATGGGAGCTTCAGGGGCGGCGCCTGCAGAGAGGGGCAGCACGCGGAGCCACGTGCTCTCCCAGGGGCCGCAGAGGCACGTTGGCCCCTTCTGGGAGCAACATGGCTATGTGGTGCACTACTGGCTGGCGGGGGGGTGCGTGTGGGTGTGGCTTGGCTCATGATGGGGAGGAGGTGCCGATGTGCCTGAGTGGGACTGGGGCAGGTAGGGAGCCTGCCTTAGCCCCACTGTGCCACCAACTGGGAGCCGCCCGAGATAAGTGCCCCCCCTTCCGGGGCCAGAACCCTATACCCTATCCCTGAGCCCCCTCCCAGAACCAGCACCCCATACCACCTCCTGCACCCCAACACTCTGCCCCAGCCCAGAGCCTCCTCCTGCACCCAAACTCCCTCCCAGAGCTTGCATCCCCTGCCCCAGGCTCAGTCCAGAGCCCCCTCCCACACTGCGAGCCCCTCGGCCCCAGCCCAGAGCCCAAACCCCTGCCCAGTGAAAGTGAGTGAGGGTGGAGGAGAGCGAGCAACAGGAGAGAGGGGGATGGAGTGAGTGGAGTGGGGCTTCAGGGAAGGGGGGGGCAGATCCTGGATTGCCCTTAAATTCAAAAAGCAATCTTTGGAGTAAAAAGATTGGAGACCACTGAGCTAAGCTAAAGTTTTATAAAAGGTTTTTTGAATAAATTTACTGTAGTTCTATAAATTTATTTGTTGGGGACATTAAACATTCAGAGTGATGAGCTAAAAAGTTAGAGTGGGTTTATTTTTCACTGTGACAAAAAATACTAAGCTGTGTTTTCTGTTTTTAGAAATCACTCTGTGCTCGATTTTAAAATGAAATTATCTGAATGGATATTAGAAGTGTACAGTCAAATTGTTCAAACTCCCTCATTTTCTTTACAAAGTACATATGTCCACTAGGACCATAGTATCCACTAAAAATCTCGATAAACACTGTAACTATCTACCACAGTGTGTTTGGCACTGTGCAAAAGAGAGGAAAAGTTCCTACCCCATATGATTTACAATGGTCTCAATTCAGTGTGAAATACTACAAATAAAGGTACGTCTGCTGGAATTTACAGATTCTTTAACTACAAGGTTTCCCTCACCCACATCCATTTGTACTGACTTTTCTCCATACATCTATGCTTTGGGGAAGTTATACACTCTGGGTATAGAGCGCAAAAGGTGTCTCCTTTAAATGTGAGAAAAAATATGACGTTTACATTTAAATATTACAAAGTGTGCATTTGAAGAAAACCTTAGAAAATTTAGTTGAGAGAATGGAGAATAAATTGAATCTAGAATGCTTTTCTCTATTAACTTAATATATTCCTGTAACTGTCTTTTTCCCTATATCGCTTCCCATAGAAAGTACATTTTTGAAAGTGAATCCCTATGAAACAACTGTCTTTGAACCAGGAGGAGGTCTGGATGTCATTTTCCTTTTTATCTCGTTATTAAATATTTGGTCTGCAAGCAGTAAAATAACTGTACCTGTATGAGACCTTTTATGGAGCTCCAAATTGCTTGGATGTTTAAAAGCCTTTCCACATAATTCACAAGTATATTGCCTCTGTGACTGAAGAATCTGTGATTGCTCATCTTGTTCTGAAGGACCTTGAGGTCTTTCCATTTCAACAGTTTGTTCAAAACTCTCTGAACTCACAAGATCTTCAGTTTCTTTTTCTTCAACAGCATTAATATTTGTCATATCCATGGTACTTTCATTTACACATTCAATTACCCTTGTTATACTGTTGTCATCTCTCTTAGGTTCAGACAATTGTTCTGCAGACTTCTGTGACCTTAGAAAATTCAGTTTTTTAAGGTGTATTGCCTTTTTTAACCGCATCTGTTTGGTAGGCTGCAAAGACGTGCTTTCCAAATCTTGGTCTGGAGCAGATTCATTCAAGGATTGAACCAGAAAGTTGGAGGGTAAGTGGTCAGAGGATTCTAAAATACATTCAGATTGATTGACAGTACAAGAATTGCTCTCTACTGTACTTAGTTCAGTAGATGTATTGAAAGCAAAGGATTGTTCTGTTATTCTCTCATGGTTGGAACATGCATTCTGCTTGTAGAACTGCTTGCTATAAAAGTTGCGCAGTTTATAATAGTAATTTGGCTGTTTAAATGGAAGCTCTGTGCAATTACCATCTAGGGAGTCCTGTGTCTGTTTCTGTACATCACCTGAGGAAGTATGAAGATTAATAGATTGTGATCCATGGGAATGGTGGTCATCCAACATTTTACTCGCTTGTGCATCTGATGAGCATTCATGCAGTAAGTTAGTACCATAACTTTCATTCACACAGTTAGTCTCTGTAGCCAAAGTACTTTGCAAGGAGAACACACTATTGCAAGGCATGCTGGCAGGAGGCTCTACAGCTGTGGAGGATTTTAAAAAAGTGTGGCAAATGTTCAGCACATTTTGCACTTGCAGACATTGTGCAATATCCAACATAGCTTGTACATTGTCCTGGCTAAGATCAAGGTGCGAAGTGTACATGAAGTCCAAGATCTGGCCTATGCCACCTACGTTTTTAATGTCCAAGTGAAAGACATCATTCTTCTGGCCTGGAGAATTCTGAAATATGGTCCTGATGAAATAAAGCATAACCCTTTATAATATACAAGCACATACACTGCTAGTTTGAAGAGCTTTTTTATAAAATATCTATCAAACACAATATCCTAACCAATGTTCCCTCTAATTTTTGACAGGCCGTGTGCGCAAAAAATTTCTTCTGTGCAAATTTTTCACAGGATGTGCGCGCAAAAAATTTCTTCTGTGCAAATTGTGCTTCTGTGCAAATTTTTGTGTGCGCAGTGTTTTGCCGTGTGCGCGTTTAGGATCTGTGTGCATGTGCACACGCGCACAGCTTAGAGGGAACAGCGATCCTAACACAATGTGAATCAATAACTCGGTATGCAACATGCGGCTGAGAGACAGTTGCTCTGGTACTTACTCATAAGACTTTTGAAACTGCTTGTAATTAGCCTAACTCTGCTCCCTTTGAAGCAAATGGTAATTTTACTGTTGACTTCAACAGGAGCAGCTATGCCACTGTTGAGTGCTTTTGAAAATCTCACCCTACACTTGTAAAATCTTATGTGCTTTAAATATCAACCTTAATGTTGATGTTAGTGGACTGTTTGTGCAGATGTTAGTGGACTGTTTGTGCAGAAGTGGCCTTCCCCTTCCCTCCTGGCAAATAGAATGGGGAGCAAGAAAGGAAGCTCTACATTTAGCTAATCAAAATGAAAATAAAGATGGAACCCCACAGTTCGGAAAATCAATGTGCTCCCCCTTCCAGCAACTAAGCCTTTCCTTCAGGATCTGCTAGTGAACCTCACTGGGGCTCATCCTTCTTAGAGCTCTGCCTAACAAGTAGGTTTAAGTGGCTGGTAAAATTTTCAAGCTGTGGCCATATCCATAGAATAAAATCACTTTATATGCATACTACCGAAGCCTACTGTAATTCTGTTTTTATTTTATTTGTGCTACGATGTTGAAAGGACCCTAAATTAATTGGGCACCCAATGCCCATTGAAATTCAACGGGAGTTGGGCACCTAACTCCCTTAAATTCAAACTTGATGGCCAAAACTCTTTGGGCATGAGTCAAAGTTTATTTTTACAAAGTTACAGTTTATTATTGACAGTGCTCATGACACTATAACAGGTGGAGAAGCATCTGAACGTCAACTTTCCTTCCCCTCATAAAGTCACTATAAACTACCTTCTCCCAGTTATTGTTTTTATATGTATTATTGGTATCACAAGCTTTAGAGATGGTGAGAGAAGAAACAGGGTAAAAACAACCCCAAAACCATACCAGACGATTCACTGACAGGCAAGGAAAATTTTGTTGCCCAGCATCCCAAGACAAGTGAATATTAGATGCTGCTTGCTGCAAGGGCTACTGACACACTTTAAAAAGTTTCAGATGCATTGACTAGCACATCAAGAAATTTCAGTGTGTGACTCTGTTCCAGATACAGATTCGGAAAGGCTAAAAAAAGAAAATTGTCCTCCAGCTCAGTTTCCTTTTAAGCACCAAGCAGCAAAAGGGGATGATCTGGTTGTCTGACACACTAAATCTCTCACCTGGCTCTGCTCACCATACTGCAATCCTATACTGCACTTTTGAAGGTCTAAATTAGCTGTTACCATTCAAGAAAGAGATCTTGGGAGTCACTGTGGATAGTTCTCTGAAAACATCCACTCAATGTGCAGTGGCAGTCAAAAAGCGAACAGAATGTTGGGAATCATTAAGAAAGGGATAGAGAATAAGACAGAAAATATATTGCCTCTATATAAATCCATGGTATGCCCACATCTTGAATACTGCCTGCAGATGTGGTCACCCCATCTCAAAAAAGATACAATGGAATGGAAAAGAGCAACACAAATGATTAGGAGTATGGAATAGCTTCCATATGGGGAGAGATTAATAAGACTGGGACTTTTCAGCTTGGAAAAGAGATGATGAAGGGGGGATATGATAGAGGTCTATAAAATCATGACCGGTGGGGAGAAAGTAAATAAGAAAGCATTATTCACTACTTCTCATAACACAAGAACTAGGGGTCACCAAATGAAATTAATAGGCAGCAGGTTTAAAACAAACAAAAGGAAATATTTCTCCACACAACGCACAATCAACCTGTGGAAATCTTTGCCAGAGGATGCTGTGAAGGCCAAGACTATAACAGTGTTCAAAAAAGAAATAGATAAACTCATGGAGGATAGGTCCATCAATAGCTATTAGCCAGGATTGGCAGGGATGTGTCCCTAGCCTCTGTTTGCCAGAAGCTGGGAATGAGCAACAAGGAATGGACCACTTGATGATTACCTGTTCATTCCCTCGGGGGCACCTGGCATTGGCCACTGTTGGAAGACAGGATACTGGGCTAGATGGACCTTTGGTCTGACCCAGTATGGCCGTTCTTATGAAGGAGCATGCATTACTATTACAGTAACTCCTCACTTAACGTTGTAGTTATGTTCCTGAAAAATGAGACTTTATGCGAAACAGTGTTAAGCGAATCCAATTTCCCCATAAGAATTAATGTAAATGGCGGGGTTAGGTTTCAGGGACATTTTTTCCCCAGACAAAAGATATTATATGCATATACAGTATAAGTTTTAAACAATTTTAAACAAACAGTTTAATATTGTACATAGCAATGAATGATTGTAAAGCTTGGCTGAGGTGGTACAGTAAGAAGTTGGAATATTTCCCAGGGAATGCCTTTCTGCTAAATGATGAACTAGCACTTGGCTGAGCCCTCAAGGGTCAATATGCTGTTATTAATGTAGCCTCACACTCTACAAGGCAGCATGGACTGAGGCAGGAGGGAGGAAACACAATAGATGCAGGGCAGTAGCTGCAAACACTTCCCTGCAAAAACTGAACATGATGATGAACCCACGCTATCCAGGTGGATCGCACCACTCCCTCCTCCTGACAGCACATGCACGGCTGCATGGGCGCTGACTTTCCAAAGTGCTTGGGGGTGCGTGCATGAGTGAGAGAGAGAGAGACATGCATTGCCCCTTTAAATACGCTGAGTATGTTGCCCTTTTAAGTAGATCAGCCAGTTCAGACCGGAAGTAACAGCTTCCTGCAAGCTCCCCCAGTTCTGTCCCCAAGCCCTGTGACTGTCCCCTCCTCCACTTTGTGGAGAGGGGGTACGGAGCGGGGAGGGGGCAGAACAGGGGAACATCCTGACATCAGCACCCCTCTCCCACCCTCCCTCAACAAGCTCCCAGGAGCAGCTCCAAGGCAGAGGGCAAGTCAGGAGCAGCATGGCAGTGGGGGGACGACCACCTGAACTGCTGCTGGGCAGCTGCTGAGCCACATACCTTACAGGGAATTTAGGGGAGCTGCTGGGGGGGTGGGGGGGCTGCGAGCCCCCCCGGTTCTAATCCCCACGAGGAGGGGTTGCTCTTCTAGAGAATCCTGCAAACAGTGGACAAAGCAGGCAGCTGCCAAACAAGGTTACAAGGGAGCATTGCACAACTTTAAACAAGCATGTTCCCTAATTGATCAGCAACGTAACAACGGGACAATGTTAAGTGAGGAGTTACTGTACTATTTATTTGTACTGCAGTATTGGCAAGAGCCTCTAACCAGAGACTGGGGCCCCACTATGCTTGGCACTGTAAGTATATAATGAAGAGAGATCTCAAAGAGCTTACTGGCCAAATATGTACAATTACAAAATAAATTAGGCAGACCATATTTTCTAATTAGACCAAATGTGAGATACAGATTATCTCTGGACAAGTAATCCAAGGTCACCATAATTTTTAATTCCAGCCTGTGATTAGGCATTACTACTTTGTAACTACCATAAAAGTTCTCTCCTCAGAGATTAAGACATCAGTTATATAGTATCCTGTTAATTCAATAAAAATATATTCCCAACTACATACCTGAAATACTGACTGAAAGCAGCTAATACATTTTTATGTGCTTTGAAGCAGACGCCTTTTACTACCAACATGCAGTCACAGAGAAGGCCTTGAATGCGCTGTTCATGTAGCTGCTGGAGAAGATGACAACTATGACTAGCAACAGTGTCCATGCTAGAATACCAGTTGATTACCTACAATACAATAAGATAAAAATACTCTTGGGATTAAGTTTTAAATTAAATATTGTATTTGCAGAACAAATTTAAAATGACATTAAAAATTAATGTATTACTACTATTTTCCCTACCTTGCAAGGGAAACAGAGCTAATGCAGATGTCTAATAATATTTGCAAAAAGAAAAGGACTCCTTGTGGCACCTTAGAGACTAACCAATTTATTTGAGTATAAGCTTTCGTGAGCTGCACGAAAGCTTATGCTCAAATAAATTGGTTAGTCTCTAAAGTGCCACAAGGAGTCCTTTTCTTTTTGCGAATACAGACTAACACGGCTCTTACTCTGAAACCTAATAATATTTGGGCCATTTAAAGACAAATGAAAAAACTGTAGGTGATTAATGGCTGTAGCAGTACAGACACAGAAAGTTTTATTAAAGTCAATATTTCCTATTACAATGAGATTTTGCACAAATATCTAGTAATGGAGATGCTGCAAATAAACTGAACTTTGTAATCATACACTTTCTTTATTCACTTAAATATGTATTAGACTTTAGCAAGCAGAACACAGAACATCCACAAACTTAAAAGCAAATAGGCATTTTGTATTGGAAAAACTCAGTTTCTTAATTCTCTAAACACAGAATAGAAAATCCTGAAAAGACCAAATATATTTATATTTATATCATTTCACTTATAGTTCTCAGATAGGTAAATTATAATAGTATTAGACAAATTCAGGACTCTCATTTGTACTGGGAAAAAAGTTTACATCATATTTAAAGTCTCTTCAAGCTGTTCACAAGAGTGACCTGGAATAGAAAATATCTAACATTTGTTCCCAAATGAACAACTGTATATAATCTATGCTTTAACTTAATTTTTGCCCATGGGAAAGGAGAGGGAATCTCCTCCTTTCGCATGTTTTAGAAGTAGGAGAGGACAAAGAATCCAATCTTTTAGGGGCTTCTCTTCACTACTGGATCTCGCAGTGAAAATTAATTGGGTCACCCACCAAAATAAATTTGCATATACGCCGCATCCTACAATTAAATTAGTTATCCATCACGTTCTCAGGACTACTAGGGGGCACCATCCTGGGACTTTTTTGACATGTCTCCTTTTAATGCATCCTAATTATATGCAGCTTCTCATCTGCTATTACAGGGATGGCCAAACTTACTGACCCTCCAAACCACATATGATAATCTTCAAGAGTTTGAGAGACGGGCATGCTTGCAAGGGCTCAGGGCTACAGCCCTGCAGCAGAGTGGGGGGGCTAGGGTCTTCTGCCTTGTGGGGATGGGGGGTGTTGGAGCTTCAGCCCCATGGGAGGCACCTCCCAGGGCTCGGGGTTTCAGTCCCATTCCTTCTGTAGCCTCCAGCCCCAGCAGGTGTGCCCCGGGGGGCTGAAGCCTTCAGCGCCAGCAGGCGCCTCCCATGGGGCTGAAGCCCCTAGACTCCCCTCCCTGTTGGGCAAAAGCCCCTAGCCCCACCAAAGGACAGAAGCCCTGAGCTCCCCCTCTTCCCCAGTCTGGCAGGCAGAGAAGGGGGACAGCATGAGGAGCTACCCGAGCAGGACATTAAGTATAAAAGAGTTGCGGTTTGGCCACCCCTGTGCTATTAAGAGGTATTACTTCATTGCACCTTTTGTTAAAATTCCTATAAGAGATTCACCAAGTCACTAAAACTTACAAATGGTTCACTGAAAACCCCTTAAGCCTATACTAGTTCCTAAAACCTCTCCCTGCTCCAAAGGATCTTATAGTTTATTAAAGCAATCTGTGACCTTGGTGTGTGTGTGCTTAAGGACAGTGAGTGCAAGTGCCTGCTCCCCCAGGGGAAGGGAACCCAAAGGCTCTGCAAGCCACTGCCTTATCGGGAGTAATTTCAGCAGCACACTAGGCTTTGTTTTTCTTTTAAATGTTCATTAAAAGTCTCCATGAAGTCTGAACGTGGAAGGAAACAGCCTCAGGTATAACACAGGGGAAGGAAGACAGGGAAAGGGTTTGCTCCAATGTTAGCAGATAAGGAATATAAGAGGGACACTATCATCATGTGAATTCCCACTTTAGCACTAGCTACAGGGTTAACATCAGTGTGTAGAAGTGAGGGAGGATCTGGTCTAATGTTAGTGGGTGTGGGGAGGAGGATATACAAGGTTTATGCTAACCCCAATATTACCCCTAGCTACAAGTATACTATGAGGGGGAAGGACGTCACTCGTCTAATGTTAGTGAGTGGGGTAGAGAGATATGCAGTGGTTGTGCTAACCCCCAGATTAGCCCTACTTGCAGGGCTAACGTGAATGTGGGTGGGTGAGAAGAGCTGGTCTAATGTTGGAGGAGGGGGGACACGCAGGGGTTAGCTCCACATTAGCCCTCACTACACGTATAACGTGTAGGGAGTTGGTCTAATGTTGGTGGGCAGAGAACAATATATATACATGCCATATACCCCCAAGTCAGCCCTAGTTACAGATATAATGTAGGGGACTAGTGTAATGTTGGGGACGGAGGAGGGAACATACAGGAGTTATATACTAATCCCCAGGTCAGCCCTAGTTACAGATATAACATGGGGGGCTGGTGCAATCTTGGAGGGGGTTATACTGACCCCAATATTACCCCCAGCTACAGGTATAACACAACGAGGAGTCCTTGTGGCACCTTAGAGACTAACAAATTTATTTGGGCATCAGCTCTCGTGGGCAGGACGGATGCTGCCCCAGCGCTGCCGGGTACGGGCAGCAGACTCCAGGGGTCCACTGCGGAAACACTGACCCTGACGAGCGTGGCCGGGCGCCCCTGGCCCGGCCCCGGAGTAAGGCTCCCAGCACGTGAGGTCGGGGATCTGCTCCTTTCCCTAGGGGGCCGCTCTAAGGTCTCCTCCCACCCAACCTTCCTACCGGCTCCGGCGGCTTCTCTCCTCCATCACCGCGGCCGCCCCATGCCACCTTGATCCCGATCGGGCCACTACCCTCCCGTCCCGGCACTTCCGGCGAAAGCACTTCCGCTTCCCCGCGGAGGAACCGGGGAGAAGACTGGGGGTGGCATGCGAGCCGGGAGGGAAGACGGCAGCGGGGACACCGAGGCGCACGTGCAGCGGGGGAAGGGAAACATGGTGACACCATCCGGAGCGCAGGCGCAGTTGGGGCGCGGCTGTACCTCTTGCTCAGTGGCGGCCGAGTTGGGGGAGGCGAGGTGGTAGCCGCAGCACGTGCCGGGTGCGGGATTGGCCGTTGGAGGCGGTGGCGCAGCATTTAAAGTGAGTGGAGGGGGACTCGCCTCGGCCTGCGCGGTTCGGAGCGCCCCAGGCGCCTAGGCCGCGGTCTGAGGGGCGCTTGCCGGGCATGGGAAGCAGCTGCGAGCTCCGCGTCAGGCTGGGGCCTCCCCCGCATGGAAGCCGGCTGGAGCAGGCCGAGCCCCGGCTGTGAGGGGTGTGGCGGGGTCTGTGGCGAGCCGCGCGCTGGCGGCACGAGCCCCTCGGGGAGGGGGAAATAATGGCAGGGTCTGGGAGGCGCGCGCTCTGCCGGGGGCCCCGCGGGGATCGGCCCGGCGTTCACGCCGGTGGGCCACGTGGGCCGTGACCCATCCACTCTTCGCCTTCCTGCGCTGTACGATGGAGGCGGGACCGGTCGTGGTCGCGCTGTCGCTGCGAGGTGAGCGCAGCCTAGCTTGCGGCCAGGAGTAGATCGCCGGCGGTAATGCTCAAGCCTGGGGTAGGCTTGAAACAGGGTGGCCTAGCTCCCTCGCAAGTCTGCCCTACAGAGCTATGTCGGCGCAGCAGCCCATCTGGTGAAGACGCGATATACCGATGGGAGAGAGTTCTTCCCGCAGCGTAACTACTCCACCTCCGCAAGAAGCGGAAGGTACGTGGATGGGAGAGTGTCTCCTGCCAGCCTAGCGGGGGTGTGGACAGTGTGACTCTTGCACTGCTGGGGGGGCTCCTCACACTCCAGAGGACGTCTAAACTTGCAATTTACAGTGCTGCAACTTTCTTGCTCGGAGGTGTGGAAAAAACACCCCCATGAGCGCAGCAAGTTTCAGCGCTGCAAAGCGCCAGTGTAGACAGCGCTGGTAGCTATGCTCCCTTGTGGAGGCGCTTTTTTTTAAAGCGTGGTAGTGCTTTAGCATTGCCAATGTAGACCAGCCCTGAATCGATCTAAATTATATTGATTTAGACTGTAGTGCACGCCACCTGCCCTCAAGGTGTGATCATTTTTGTGCCCTGAAAGCTGTAGTAGGTCAACCTAACCTCCAGTGTAGAAGAATTTAGGTAAACAGAATTCTTCTTAACTACACTGAAAAACCCTTTGTGCCAATGTAGGAAGCATCAACACCACAGCACTGTAGCTGTGCTGCTGTGGCGTAGACATGCCCTAAATGAAAGAAATGGGTTCTACAAAAGGGATCTGAAGAAGACCAAGGATGCCTGGCATGAGATACCCCTTTGTGAGAGCCAAATATGGGAGCGAATTTTAAAAAAAGGCATGAAGGCAAGACTGGGAGGAGAACTAAAATGAGAAAAGTGAGGTGGAGAGCAAGGGATGGTCAAGGCAGAGGGATAAAGCCTTAAATTTTGAGTGAAAAGACTTTGATCTTTATGCAAAATGTGACCGGGAAATGGTGATAACAGCAGAAAGTCATGATGTAGTCAAAATGCCAGGAGAAGATGGTTTTTATCAGTACAAAGTTGCATAGATTAGAGTCCATGACTTTCCACTGTTCGGAATAGGGGAGGTTAAATTAATTCAGATGTGAGACAATACCATGGTGTCTGAACCAGGATTTTAGCAGCAGAGACAAAGAGGAAGGGCATATTTCAGAAATCTTACAAAGAGAGAACAGCAAGATTTGGCAAGCACTTTAATGTGAGAAGGAAAGGCAGGAATCTGAGGTAGTCTGAGTTTGTGACGTGCAGTTTTCAACTGAAAAACATCAGAATAATTATTTGAGTTGTATATACAAAGAAATATTTTTGCAATTAAAAATGAATGTTACATAAAAGCGCAATTAACGTGTGAATTTTATTCACATTTAAGTCTGTTTGATAGATTTGCTGTTGGTAGATTGATCCACGTGCACTTAATTTGTGTGGGTTGCTTATGTTTTTCTTAAATATAATTCTCATGCTTTTTCAGAGTTATGATATGAATTGCATTTTTTTTGTAGATTTCAATTTGAAAAAGAAGCAGTTATAAGCACCTTTGAGAAGAAACTATTTTGATCACTTCATCAAAATGGTGGTTTTTACCTGCAGTGCATGTGGAGAGTCTGTGAAGAAAGGACAAGTTGAAAAACATGTAAACATTTGCAGAAACTGCCAGTGCCTTTCTTGCATGGATTGTGGCAAAGATTTTTGGTATGTTAATGATCTTGCACAATCAGCAGTGACCATAGAAAAGGTTCCTAGGATATGTTGGAGTTAAATTATTTTGTGAGGTATTCAGGGTTTCATTTAAAACCAAAAAAAACCCCCAAACCAACAACTCTAGCTGTAACGTTGCGCAAATACCCTTTAAGTGTGAACCAAAACATGTGCTGTCCTGAGTTGGCAGTTGGTAGACTAGTGGTTTTCAAACTGCGAGTTGCTACCTAGTACTGGGTTGCAGCGGCTCTGGTCAGCATTGCTAACCAGGCGGTTAAAAGTCCCATCGGCGGTGCTGTCCAGCTAAGGCAGGCTAGTCCATACCTGTTCTGACACTGCACTGTGCCCCGTAAGTGGCCAGCAGCAGGTCCAGCTCCTAGGTGGGGGGCATGGGGATCCATGCGCTGTCCCCTGCCGCACTGGCTCTGCACTCCCATTGACCAAGGGCGGTGCCTGAGGTGAGAGCTGTGCGGAGCCGCTTGCACACCTCTACCTAGGAGCAGGACCTGCTGCTGGCCGCTTCCGGGGTGCAGTGTAGTCCACGGCGCCAGGACAGGCAGGAACCCTACTGTGCCACTGACTGGTAGCTGCCTAAGGTAAGCCTGTGCCCCAATCCCCTGGCTCAGCTCTGAGCCCCCCAAACCAGGAGCCCCCTCCTGCACTCCAAACCCCTCATCCCTGGCCCCACCCCAGAACCAGCACCCAGAGCCCTGACCCCCTCCTGCACTCCAACCCACTGCCCCAGCCCTGAGCCCCTGCAACCTGGAGCCCTCTCCTGCACACCAAACCCCTGGTCCCACTGTGCACCCCAACCCTCTGCCCCAGCCCTGAGCCCCCTCCACACTTCAAACCCCTCATCTCCAGCTCCGCTGGGTCACGGGCATCAACAATTTTCTTCTACTGGATTGCCAGAAACAAAGTTTGAAAACCACTGTGGTAAACCATTCCAGTGGTTCTACTGCATAGATTCTCCGAAGTAGTAGCAGAGTGAGAAGATTAATTTCAGTTTCTATTCAGAGCCTTAAATACAGCCATGAAACTGACAAGAAATTATGCTAAAAACATATAAACGACAACAGGGGCAGTCATTGGTTCTAATTGTGGGGTAAGAGGGCCCAAAAATTAAGGCTTGGAAGGGAGAGAATAGCATTCTGCACTTCTCTGCAGGTTGAAGTGGGTTAGTTATTATGTTGCTCCCTCATCTTTGGTATTTTTTTGTTTGCTTTCCTTTTGTTAGTAATTTAAGTGTTACGGCATGTAGGTGCGCATTAAAACTTTTCAATCCCTATTATATGCTACAAACATCAGTTACCATGGTTACTCTTTGCAGCTATGAATTATGGTACTTTGAGCTTTTGATTATGGCAAAAACGTTGCTGATTGCTGCAGAATCAGTGTGACTGGAATACTTTTTACCAAAATTGCAGCAGCTCTCCCTGTAAGTACCCAGATTCTTCAAAAATCCCCACTACAGTCTACCTTTCCAAATGCAAAAGTAGAAATTTTATCTAAATTAACAGGAAATAAAATTGTAGGTACAGACCAGTAGGCTCACTAGTGGTAGGATTAGCATTTCCATTATCAGCCCTATTTTTCAGTTATCAATAACTTGATCAGAAAAATGTCCTTAGACAGAACTTGGTAAACAATTCCGAAGTCCAGGAACCAGTTTCTTTAGAAGTGTTTTTAATCTGTTTTTCCATTTTAGCACTAGTAGCTGCTACAGAATTCAGGCCCCATTCCACTTTGCTGAAGGGGGAAGAATGGTCCAATGGTTAGGGCATTAACCTAGAATGTGAACTGAAGCCAAGTCTCCCTTGCTCCTCCACAGACTTCCTGTGTAAACTTGGCCAAGTCACTTAGCCTGTCTCGGTTCCCAATCTGTAAAACAAGGATTAAATAATACATCACAACCTCACAAGAGTGTTAAAGATTGTGAGGCACTCAGATGCTATGGTAATGGGAGCCATATAGGCTCCTTAGATTTGAGCAGTGAGTGGTGCTCTCTAAATGGTTTTTAAACTCTGCCGAAGAGCAGAAAAATATAGCTTTTCCACAATATGAGCATAGGGAAATGTTAAATATAACAATTCTATATGTAATTAGAGATGTATACTACTATATACGTTTATATTTATTAAAGACCTAATTCTGCATTCTTTGCAAATCTTAACATCCATTGAAGTCAAGTGATATTTATCAAGCTCTAGACTGGCAGGAATTCAAGCAGTCCTCAAATATACATGTACTTTACTTCACTCATGTGAATAGTTCCACTGACTTCAATGGGGCCACTAACACAGGCAGACGTGTACACATTTGTAAGCGTTAATAGTATTGGAAGCTAAATTTGTATTGTACAATTACAACTCAAGTTTCGCTGCTTATGAAGGTTGCCTTGTTTGAGAGACTGACTGTGACGTGTTAAGTTTTGTTAATTGAAATGGAACACTGTTTACTGATTTTAAGTGTGGCTTATTAATATTTAAGGGGTGATGATTATAAGAGCCATGTGAAATGTATAAGTGAAGATCAGAAATACGGTGGCAAGGGTTATGAAGCCAAAACTAACAAAGGAGATGTTAAACAACAGGAGTGGATCCAGGTAATAATTTAAAAAAATATGTATTAATGTTTTCTTTCTGATAACTCAACTTCATTGCAGAAAACTTTGTATACTAAAAAATATGAATTCATATTGGGAAAATAAATGTACAGATGCTTTATTTTAAATAGCAATGCATGTTCTGGAAAAAATGGCCTCAAATGAGGAGAAGAGCAGACAAGCCTGACACTCTAACGTTAATGCATCTCACCAGCTGAGGCATCAGAACTTCAGGTGCTGTCCTTGCTCCTGTGCTGGACACTGTAAATGTTAACGGGGCCTGTTTTTGGG